ATATAAAATCTGAAATATATATTATAGATTTTGATATTACAAATATTAATCTTATAATATTCTTAAACTTAGTATTAATCCAAATCTTAATTAATATTTCAGTTTTAGATACTAGGAAGTTGAGTCGTTGTCTCATATACCTACCTAGATAGATCCATACACATACACATCAAAAATCCTCACCTCATTTATATAGGTAGGTAAGTATATTTTTCCTTGCCTGGCTTTACTTTTCCTTACTCAATTTACCTGTACTCCGTTCTCTTTATTCAGTATACTGGACTTCATTTCCTCCTCTTTCCTCCTCTTTCCTCCCGTCCCCTCCGCTTCCTCCCCCACAATCTGAATCACAGGTACTATTTATCTAAATCCATATACTAGTATTCTCATCCCGCCTCATCCCCTTTCATCCCTCTCATCCCCTCTCATCCCTCTCATCCCCTCTCATCTCTTCCATCGCCTTTCCTCTTCCTCTTCCTATTTCTTTTCGTTTCCTTTTCGCTTTCTATTCCTTTCTATCTCCCCCTTCCTGTCCCTGTCTCTGTCCCTGTTCCTACCGCTTAACCTTCCTTTTTCTCCCCGTTCTTTCCTTTTCCCTCTAAAATTTTAATATAACTTCAATACACATTTACACTCACACTCACTCACGCTTACTACTCATGTACTATATTATGTTATGCCATATCACATTACGTCATGTCATACCAAGCTATTACATCCTATCACAAACCATAATCCACCACTCACATCACTCCCATCACTCACACCACACCAAAATCCAATTCCATCCCATCAACAACCAATAAAAACCAGAATCAACAATTGTATACATAAATCGATATCTATATATGTAAATATCTAAAGATCTAAATAAGACATATACACCTATACACATACATACATATATATCTATCTATACACACATACGTATTCATATTACCTAACCACATACATTAATCTATCCAATCGCACTATGCATACATGCATAACCACATATATATCTAATCTCATACACCTAAGTACTTACACAGATCTAGATCTAGATACATAAACACAAATACCCTTACTACAACCTCACTTCTCACTCCTCACTCTTCACTACTTACTCCTCACTCCTCCCTACACAAATATAAAAACCAACCACACCTCAATAAATCTCATAAATCTCCATAAATCTCATAAATCTCATAAATCACCTACCTTGTAGCTACACACACACATATATACACATACACATATATACACACACATGAATCTACACATACATGGATCACAACACATTACAAGCATAGTATATGTATATCAATCAAATTACCCCAACTACAGACTCCATTCTATCACCATTAGTCAACGCCAACATCACATGCCCATACATCCCCATCACACCAACTATCTCCTCTACTAATCTCCTCTAATCTCATCTCATAGCAAAGAAAATATATTCTATGCAACGCTAAAGGTATATCTACAGCCATCCAATCGCATACCAACCCAACCCTCATCTCCACCTCCTCGCTTCTATATTACAGCATCGCCATCTCTCTTATAAACCCGCTGTCTAGTATAGGAAACCCAAAAGCCAGCGCTGACGAATACATCCTGCTCAGAATATCATGACGCCAGGGACAATCACGCGTATCCTGATTATTAAGTATCCCCATCCTCATCCTCTCTCGTAACATTTCGATCTATATCGATTACCTAGACCACAAGCAAAACTCCAATCCAATCCAATCCAATCGCTCCGTATCATGAAATTCATTTCCTTGAAACACCAATCAAAACCTAGCTATGCATCATGAAATGTGATCTTTGCAAAAGCCGATGCCTTTCCTCAAAAGATGTTTCCGTATACTCCCAAACACCTACCCGATTGTGAGGAAGAATAGTAAGAAAGCTCTTTTGAAATCAGCCCCTCAACCAACGCTGAAAGACACTTGCCCATTCCCATCCTAATACCATTCATGAAAGTTCTCTCTCTTTCCCATCCAACCTCCAATAGACTATTCTTAATGGCCGTACTAACTCCTTCATCATGCAATGAAAATTGGCAAAATTCCCTACGCTTTCCCAACCCAACCAACATGCAAGAAGAAATCAAAAATCTTCCCACCCTTTGCTCCTTCCACTCTCGCAATCTCCTTGACCATTTTTCTCTTCAACTTTCCATCTCCCTTTACTGCCTCTTTCAGAATCGCTTCTTTGATAACCAAATATGGTTTTGGATTCAATCGAGTCTTTTCACAAAGATCAATTTCCCCGGGTGTTAAAAGATGGTAATCAGGAGTAGATGATGGGTTGAGAGGTAATGGTGTAATTGTTGAAAGAGGTTGGACTTGTATTGGTTCACGTTTGATAATAGGGGATTGTTGCTTAATCCCATTTGTGAGAGAACCATTACCATTCACCAAGTTTTCCTTGTCATCGTTTGGCTCCGACTTAAGGATAGAATCCGGTAATTCAGGAGCAACCAATGCAGCTGCACCACTTGGAGTTTCAACGACAGGAGGAGGTTTGTTCTTTGAGTTTGCGGCGTATCGTTCACGATCCATACTACCCATAGGTTGTGCCTTATGCAATCTCTGCTGCTTATCCTGTTCGTATTTCTCCCCGCTCTTGAGGTCTCCAATCCTCATTTGTCTCCACTCTTGCAATTGAGAAACTGCTTGCCGTAGGTTTAATTCATCAATGAGACCTTTTGAGAATTCTTCATAATCATCATGATTCATCATTCTTGCGAAAGGTTTTGTACGAGTAAGAAGATCCCTTTCTTCCTTTGTGCGCTTTTTATCAAGAGCAACTGCTTTGCGATATTCCAGAAGGTTATGTTCAAATATGACCTTTTTACGATCGGCTCGTTGGGTTAATCGCTGATTGTATATGTTCATCACTGTCATTTTGAGCTCGAATTCCGGCTCCACCTTTCCAGTAGTAGGATTAACTCCATCACCAGGTTCAAATGACATTAATTGAACAGCTTCTTCTGCTTCATTTGCATATTCGGTCTCGAACTCCAGACGACCAGGCATGTAACCTTGAATGTCGTGACATGATGGAACACTAGCCGTGGGCTTCTTCTTCGGTTGTGGTGGAGGTTGATTTTTAGCTGCCTCTTTTCTTTTCTCTATTCGCGCTTTCTTTCGAGCTTGGAATTCGTCTCGAGGCAACGCGTCCATCAACTCTGTATCATGTGGACTAGCTCGTTTTGGTAATGGAAATTTTGGACTATCCAAGTAAACCTTCTTGTAATGATCTCGAACCTCTTCTTTAGTTCGGAACCCTCCGATATGATCTGCGATATCTGCCCAAGAACCCAAGCCATATATCTCACATCCTTCCAATAATAGTAGTTCTTCATCTGCCCCCCAATCTGGTTCGTAAATTGGCACGGAGTTTTGTTCAATAACCCTAAATGGGTGGGTAGCAGGTTGATGCTGTGAGGAGGATTTGCCGTCAGAAAAACATTGTACACATAGGTCGTATTCATTGCAAGCAGAGTGGGCGCATCGAATTCGGACCTATGATTGGGGAGAGAGTTAGCTATTAGGACAATTACGCGGGTGGACAGATCGGATGTTGATCGAAAAGTACATACGGTATTCGTGACATCTGCTGAACACATATCACAGACATACTTAACACCGCCTTCACCCCCTCTCATTGCCGTCTTCTTGCGAATGATGCCCATTGTCAAGGTGGTTGTGAATATTTACTTTGCGCCACGATTGACCAACAAATAGAGATGACAGGATTGAGACTTGTTTTTGGATTAAATAGTATTGTGATTGAATGAGTGTAATTATCTCTTTGATGGAATTATTCCTCAAATTAATAAGAAGTATTAAAGTTGTTACGGTGTTGATGTCTTTGTGAACAGTAGTTCGATCAATGCGATGAGGTTCCAAGAGTGGGTACATTACAGATGTGGCTCGACAAGGCTGCGGTCGAGGATCAGTGATAGCCTAACCCAGATGAGAGGCACCAGCCACATTAATAAGTGAGGCTGAACATTTTGTTATGCTAGCTGGAGCCCGAGGCACTTCAGTATCTTGAAGATCATCGAGCATCCCCCCCTCTTGTGTATGTTGAGGTTGATTTTATTTTTGTTATCTGCTCTAGGTATGAGAAGGATGCGAAGATTTCTGTGCTCAATATACGATAATAATTGAGTTTCAATGCAATATTTCTACCGTATCAATTGTTAATATTTTCGTGTACGAACTTGTGATGTATAAGTATACACGCAGTATGTACTTGAAACTTAGCCCATCAAACGGCCGTCCTTATCGGAGCTTGTTATCAAGAATTCTCGGAGTTTAGGTAAATGGCCGCCCCGCCCACGTTGCTGTTGCAGAGAACCTGAGAACCTGAGAACCTGAGAACCTGAGAACCTGAGAAATGATAGTAGATAGAGGGCACTTGCACGTGACTGAGGAGATGGTTATCAATTCATCCATTCATCGATCATTGAGCACGAAATTCGAGGAGAGACATTTTTGAATAGCCCTATGTTCGAAGTCCTTACCTAGGTAGATGATGATTCATACTACCAGAATCAAATCTAAAAGGCAAATAAAAGTTTCATATATGTCTACTCCATACTGGCTGGTACTTGCTACTAATAAGCCACTCACTCACTCATTTTATCGTGATTCTAAGCCCCCTCGAAGACATCCCCTAGTAGAGAGTAGCCATGTTACATTGAATATCGCCCCCTTACAAACGCTGCCCTCCCTAGTCAAACATTGAGAGAGAGTCTGAGAGACATGTATGTTATTTTTACATCTTTAGAACCTCTCATCGTGAAGAGTAGTGAAACATAAAAACATCAAAAGAAAAACAAGAGAGAGGTAGAAGAAGGATTACGAACAATCCTATTACTTTATTCTCCCATATTGATTGATATCGAGACGGGCAATTCATTTAACCTCTCATTCTACACTTGATACACCACCACGACTAGATTTATAAAGGTTCACTCGTTCAACATCAACATCAACATCAATATCAATATCAATATCAATATCAATATCACTCACTTATTACTCACTCACTTCCTCACTCACTTCCTTCATTATCACTTCGGTACATCTAATTGTATCGATTAATCACGAGTCTTCGCCTTAACAATCAATCTATTTTGGCGGGGCAATCGCCTGTGAGCACTTGTTTGAAGCTAAATCCTGACCGCAACGCACTGAACGAACACTTTACTGTCAATCCCTCGAAGAAATCCCGATATCTACTTTACTCCTCATTCATTACCATTTACCACCACCTACCACCTACCACCTACCATCTACCATCTCTCAACATACAACATCAATTACAATCTCATTACCTAGAATCCTACAACTTATCCTTCTTCCTACGACCCCCTCTCCTACCGATACAATTTTGTTCCCCATCCCCAAGATGTCGTCTTGGAATATCACCAAGAGTGAGTTAAATTCAATTACAATTCATTACACTTCAATCTTGAAACCACTCAGATCTACCTCCTTTAGCTAAATCTTATTGTTGGCTACCAACGCAACGTCACTTCGGAGAAGGCTATTGAGCTTTAAATCGTCTAAAGCGAGCATATGAAATGGACTTGTCACTAATTATCTCTATCCATTTTTAGAGCTCAAAGAGACGCATCTTGGTCCCCTAACGTCTACCTTCTCTCGAACCCCATCTTCACAAACTCTGAGGGAATCATCCAAAGATGAGAAATCTGGCACACCAAGTCCGGCACCATCCATCAACGATAATGGAATAGGTATGCGCACATTTTTAATTTGGCCCACGAAAAGTATACTGACCGTGAAAGCTGCTTCCGAAGCCATAGCCTCTCAACCACAATCCGCTCCTCGACCGGGTATTCTCATCGTTACCCTTCACGAAGGAAGTGGATTCTCTCTACCAGATCAATATAAACAAGTCTTCAGCAATCACACACAAAATTCATTATCTGCGGGAAATGGCTTTGGGGTTGCAGGTTCAGTACGTTCCGGGGCTTCAAACCAAGTCTCTGGATCTTATTCGAATATGAGGCCACAAACATCTGGAGGTGGAATTCAGGTGCCTACTAACCATGGACGTATTTCCTCAAAATACCTTCCATATGCCTTATTAGATTTCGATAAGATGCAAGTTTTTGTCAATTCAGTTGCAGGATCCCCTGAAAACCCCCTGTGGGCTGGAGACAATACTCAATATAAGTTTGATGTTTCAAGAGTTACCGAATTAGCAGTTCATTTATATCTTCGAAACCCAAATGCGCCTCCGGGATCTGGTCGAAGTCAAGATATTTTCCTTGGTGTTACGCGCATCAACCCTCGATTCGAAGAAAAGCACAAGTACGTCGAAGACCCTAAGTTGGGAAAGAAAGACAAGGAAAAGGCCGCTGCAGAATTCCAAAGAAGAGAGAGCACATTGGGACAGAGTGGACCGGAATGGTTAGACGTTCAATATGGTACTGGAAAGATTCGCATTGGAGTCGAATATGTTGAGAATAGAACAAGAGCCTTGAAGATTGAAGATTTCGACCTATTGAAAGTGGTTGGAAAAGGAAGTTTTGGAAAGGTCATGCAAGTCAAGAAAAAAGATACCCAACGAATTTACGCCCTCAAGACCATTCGAAAAGCTCATATTATTTCACGATCAGAAGTCGCACACACGTTGGCAGAAAGATCGGTCCTTTCTCAAATCAACAATCCATTCATCGTTCCTCTCAAGTTTACTTTCCAATCACCCGAAAAGTTATATTTCGTCTTGGCGTTTGTCAACGGTGGCGAACTTTTCCATCATCTTCAAAAGGAATCTCGCTTCGACATCAATCGTTCAAGATTTTATACAGCCGAACTACTTTGCGCTTTAGAATGTTTACATGGTTTCAACGTCATTTATCGTGACTTGAAACCAGAAAACATTCTTTTGGATTACTCGGGTCACATTGCACTTTGTGATTTTGGCTTGTGCAAACTTGACATGAAGGATGAGGATCGCACCAATACCTTCTGTGGAACTCCCGAATACCTGGCACCAGAACTGTTGATGGGACAAGGTTACACTAAGACGGTTGATTGGTGGACCCTTGGTGTCTTGCTCTATGAGATGTTGACTGGTTTACCTCCTTTCTATGATGAGAATACCAATGAGATGTACCGCAAGATTCTGAGCGATCCATTGAACTTCCCTGGTCCTGAAATTGTTCCACCTGCTGCTAAGGATCTTTTGCAGAAGCTTCTCAACAGAAAACCAGATCTAAGATTGGGTGCAAATGGTGCATCAGAAATTAAGGCCCATCCTTTCTTTCACAGTATTGATTGGCGAAAGTTACTTCAAAGAAAGTATGAGCCTACATTCAAACCTAACGTGGTATGTATTTCATTTTGTTTTTTCCAATGTTGGCATGCAATATACTAATCAAATACAGACGGATGCTCTTGATACCACCAACTTTGATGTGGAGTTTACCTCCCAAGCACCAGCTGATTCATTGGTAGAAGGCGGACAGTTATCATCAACCATGCAAGAACAATTTACTGGATGGTCTTACAACAGACCGGTTGCAGGATTGGGAGATGGAGGCGGAAGTATCAAAGATCCAAGTTTTGTAGGAAGTGTACAGGATAGATAGATGGATGAAAGTCGGGGAACAAGGGAACTGGAATTCTGGAAATGACCAGTGGTATGATGATATGACTTCAACTTTGCTCAGGCGTCTTTTCTCTCCAGATAGCAATTCGCATACAGATTGAGGGTTGGAGTGGTTTCTCTTCTTCACGAACAAATTCTAAGAATATTATCAGATAAGATGAGATGAGATGAGATGAGATGAGAAGTTATATCAAAATGGATATTCGTTGTTTTTGTATTCTTCTTCGGCACTGAAATTAATTTTGGGGAATCACCTGAGAGTAGAGCGGAGTAGAGTAGAGGCGTTACGAAAGAACTTTGTTATGGACAAGTGGGTGTGTGGGTTTGATAGAAAAGAAGGAATGAAGCGAGGGGTTTCGAACTTCTTTCAAATTGTAAAATCGAAGTATTTGTTTTTTCGTCAACTCATTGGGATGTGATAGTGTGATAGTGTGATAGTGTGATGTGCTTTTGTGAATTCTTCTACGATATGTATCTATGTAGAGGTCGGTCAGTAATAACAAGATCAATGAGGTATCTGACTCGAGGATAATCATATCGTGGTTATGGAGCATAGGACAGGGGAGGAGTCGGTCGCTTATGCTAGCTGTTTGTTGTTTGTTCCGATCCGATGGGCTTTCAAGGTTTATTTTTTTTTGAGTTTGAGTTTTATGCTTTTTTGGGATTCACCGAGAGAGAGGAGAGGAGGGGAGAGGAGGGAGGAAGGAAGGAAGGAGAGGAGGGAGGAAGGAGGAGAGAGAGAGGGGATGGGGTAAGTAGCTGTAGCTGTAGCTGTAGCTGTAGCTATCTGATTTGATTTTGAATCTACCTTTACTATCTATCTGTATACGAGTGAGTATATTGATTGTGAAAGTTAGATGATTACCTACCTAGGTATCTGAGAAGATTGAGGGAGAGAGTATACATAAATACATATGAACAGATCAATAAACCAATAAAAATGTACTCAGGTCTCTCACTCAGCTGCATCTAATTCTCCCTTCTTATTTATCCCACCATTAGCGTGAGTATCTCGGCTTGACTATACGATAGGTCGTTCGTAATCGAGTGGTTGGGTTGGGTTGGGTTGAATGATTATGGGTGGATTGGTATGGACGTCATAATACCGAGGCCCATTGGATTTTCATTTCATTTGTGGTTGCTTGCTTGTTGTTGTTCCGAGTATCTACTAGGTATTGACTGGACCTGGACTGGTGACTGGTAGAAAGAGCTTGAATAAACCCCTCCTTTTTTCCCTCTTTTTTTTGTATCTCATATCTACATACTTACTTGCATACAAACATATATACGAACATACAAACATACACATATCTGATATCTGTATACAGTGAATCTATCAAGTAAAGAAAGGTATGTTGTCTCTCTCTATCTCTCTCCCTCTCTTAATCTCTCAATCTCCCAAGCATTCATTCATTCAACCTGGATGAATGATTGAATGGTGTCACTGCACTGCTTTAACCCCACCCCACCCACCTACACAACATTCGACCGACCGAAGTTTCCAGAGTCGAAAGAGAGACAGAGAGAGGGGCTTTCCGTTGATATTATTCCTTCCGTCTACTCCTACTCTAAATTAAACACATAATTCTCCATCTCCATCTCCAGTTCTTCTTGTTTATACACACGATCTTAATAAGCTCTCAACTGACAAGAACATCACAGCCATTCTATTTGCAGACCTTTCGGAAAAACTAGGAATACCTCTCTTGTCTTTTCGGAGAATTTATTGCTAAAGAGGGAATATAAAGGTATGCGTTTCTCTTTTCTCTCTTGCTGTTGAACATGTCATTTCGAGTTATATATCTATAGGAGCTTTCTGGAGATTGTCAAATACCCATCATTCATCATTCATCATCACCTAATATCCTGACCTTCATTCTAACTTTATTCCCCATAGTTCCCCCTAAACCTTATAATCAACAACACCAATAAAACTCTACAACATGCCTCAAGCAACCGAACTCAAAGCATGGAGTGCTCTCCAATCTCACCATGACAGCGTTGGCCGCAACATTATCCTCAAGGAAGAATTCCAAAAGGACCCTCAACGATTCGAGAAATTTTCCAAAACCTTCAAGAACACTGCCGACAACTCGGAGATTCTCTTTGATTTCTCCAAGAATTTGATCAATGAAGATACAATCAAGGCATTGGTGGCCGTTGCAAAAGAAGCCGGATTGGAGAAGTTGCGCGATGAGATGTTTGCGGGTGAGAAGATCAACTTCACTGAAGATCGTGCTGTTCTTCATGTTGCATTGAGAAATGTCACCAGTGATCCAATCAACGTGGATGGAAAGGATGTTATGCCAGGTGTTAACAAGGAGTTGAAGCACATGGAGGAATTCTCGGAACAAATTAGAAGTGGAGAGTGGAAGGGTTACACTGGAAAGCCTTTGACTACCATTATCAACATTGGTATTGGTGGCTCTGATCTGTAAGTTGGGAGGCATACCAAGAGTGATCATAGCTAATCCGATTTTAGTGGTCCAGTTATGGTTACTGAAGCTCTCAAGTACTACGGTGCTAGAGAACAAACCCTTCACTTTGTTTCTAACATTGATGGTACACACATGGCTGAGGCATTGAGAGATTCTGATCCAGAAACCACTCTTTTCTTGGTTGCTTCCAAGACCTTCACCACTGCAGAGACTGTTACCAATGCCAACTCCGCAAAGGAGTGGTTCTTGAAGAAGACCGATGGAAAGGGTGATATCGCTAAACACTTTGTTGCTCTCTCTACCAACGAAGCCGAAGTTACCAAGTTTGGTATTGATGCTAAGAACATGTTTGGTTTCGAAAGTTGGGTTGGAGGCAGATACAGTGTTTGGAGTGCAATTGGTTTGAGTGTTGCTATTCACATTGGATTCAAGAATTTCCATGAGTTGTTATCTGGAGCACATGCTATGGATATGCACTTCAAGAACACTCCACTCGAGGAGAACATTCCAGTTATTGCTGGTCTTTTGAGTGTTTGGTATTCTGATTTCTTTGGTGCTCAAACTCATTTGGTTTCTCCGTAAGTTTGTATCTATCTAAGCTCCTCTTGCATATGGCTAATCAAAACAAACAGTTTCGATCAATACCTCCACAGATTCCCAGCTTACCTTCAACAACTTTCTATGGAATCTAACGGTAAGGCTGTCTCTCGTGATGGAAAGATTGTCAAGTACACAACTGGTCCAATCCTTTTCGGTGAACCAGCTACCAATGCTCAACACTCTTTCTTCCAACTTGTACACCAAGGTACTAAGTTGATTCCAACCGATTTCATCATGGCCGCTGAATCGCACAACCCAATCGATAACAACAAGCACCAAAAGATGTTGGCATCAAACTTCTTCGCTCAAGCTGAAGCTCTCATGATTGGAAAAGGAGAAGATGAACTCAAGGCTGAGAACACCCCAGCTGAATTATACAAGCACAAGACATTCTTGGGTAACAGACCAACCACATCAATCCTCGCCCAGAAGATTACCCCAGGTACTCTTGGTGCCTTGATTGTTTACTACGAACATCTCACCTTCACTGAGGGAGCTGTCTGGAACATCAACAGTTTCGATCAATGGGGTGTTGAGTTGGGTAAGAGCTTGGCTAAGAAGATTCAAGCCGAGTTAGATGTTAGTGGTAATGTTGGAGAGCATGATAGCAGTACTGGAGGATTGATTGCTGCTTTCAAGAAGAAGGCCAACATCTAAATGAGAACTGGAAGTGATTGGGATTATACAATGGGATAACCAGCATGTGGTAATGGTGAAATAAGGACGGAAAGGGAAAGGATTTTCTCGATATAGTAAATTGGGGGAAATAAAAAATAGGATGAGGAGATGAATTTGCAACTGGATATTTGAATGAATGAATGATGGTTGATTAGTTAAAGATATGATACGGTTATGAAATGAATGAATATGAATGAATATGAATATCAAATCATTTTTGAAGGATTAAGTTTCCCGGTGACTTTAGTCATGAATTAATGAATTATTGAATGTCCTTCTCATCCCATCTTGGAAAAATGTAGGTGGAATCTCAAGGATGACAGCGGCCGCTAGCGTAAAGTTTATTTCACCTCCTGCATGACAACCCATGCCTAATAGGTAATGGAGGATGCGGATTAATTGACAAGCTTAACTATTTGATGATGCAAAGTGTTCAGTTCTGATCGTCGCAATTGTCATTGTGAGAAAATTCTTAATGAATGATATACATTCGACGCGATCTGATTTGATTGATTGATTGATTGACTGGAGAGAATTTGTTTTTTTGTGATAGTTACAGTCATAGTTATAGGGCGAATAGGAAGGAGGGAGGAATAAGTTGATTGATTGATTGATTGGACTGTGGGTGAGTGAGGTGTTTGTTGAGTTGAGTTTGGTTGGTGGGATTTGGTGGAATTTGGTGGGATTTGGGAAGGGAAGGAAGAGAAGTGAAGGGAAGGAAAGGTATTTGAGGACTTGAGAGGGTATCTGATCTGGAGGGATTCGAGGGATTGGGAGGCGCGACGGGTACGAGGACGAGGACGAGGACGAGAATAAGAATAAGGATAAGAACGAGCGACGAGATACGAGGACAAGCTACGAGTAAGGATTTAATATTAGACGGGTTGGAGCTACGATTGGAAGTGGAAGCGCAAGTGGAATTGGAATTGCCAGGAAAACGCAAAGCGCAAAGAACACGATTTGAGATCATTGCGGGATTAGTTGAGACGACGAGGTTATTGGGTTGCGAGATTGCGAAGTTTTTTAAAGGGAGAAAAGTAATAGGAAAAGGGAAGAGGAAATCTATATCGAAAGAAAGAAAGGAAGAAAGAGAGGGAAACGAATCGAGAGGAGGACAGGAAAGAATATAAAGAGAAAGAATAATAAATATGCGCGTGGTTGGTTGGCTGGCGATTGGGATGGGGATTTGGGGAGGAGGCGTGTTTGCGCTGGAGGCAGAGAGGGGAGATAAAGGGTTGGAAGGGGTGGTGGAGAAGGATGAGGAGAGGCCGCTTTTGCCGAGTTATCATTTTGGGGCGGCGATTGAGGTCGAGTGTATGGAGAG